GAAGAAGAATTATTCCAGTTATATCGGACGAGAGACAACGTCTTTCTGTTTATCGAAAGCCTAAGTAGTCGACATATATTTTTGAAAAGAAAGAGAGAAAAAAAAAGAAATACAAAAAGACACTGCACATGTTTGGCCTATTGTAAGGAGAGAGTCTCGCGAACACACAATGACGCGTGAAGCGCAATGAGCGACGAAAGTTCGACATTGAGAAATCAGTCGACACAAGATGTAAGTTTCGTTCAATTCCCATGAAAAGTGAAGAAGATCGTTACAATCGATACGCGCCCAATCGGAATTTCTTCCAATTCGAACAGTTCGAACACCGAGAACAAATAACGAAAGAAAAGAAAAGAAAACGAAAGTGTCGATGCTCGCTACGTTGTGTTATGATCGTCGAGAGATATTACGTTGAGAAATCTACGCACATCCCCGGTAACTATGATTCCGCTTCTAATTTGGCTCGCGTATCGTATGGATATAAATTAAGGAATACACGTAATAAGTAAGATTGCTCCAAAGATACACGATGATGCGGCGCCACTCGCATATCCAAACGCGAACACGTTGCGGCGCGTATACGCGAGCACAGCGTGTACTCCTCGCGCTTGTTCGCGAAAGCAAGTTAAACACGAGAATCGCTGCATAGGCATGTATGTTCCGAGCAATCGTACTTATCGTCAAAGTTATCTCGAAAGGGTCCAGCTGGTGAATGATAGTGTTCGATGATCAATCGCATCCTATGCTATTTTCACTCTCTAAGTTCTATCACGATCATCGATCGAACTATCGGTTCGCGAGTGGATCGCCACCTTCGAGTTTCCTGCGCGTTTGCAGGTATACACGCGCGTAACACACAGGAGAGGAACGAAATGAGGAATGAACTTGCACACGCGGCAAAAGGAAAAGAGAGAAAGGAACCGGAAGAGTGTCACAGAATCAGATATATTGTATACTTTTTCCGCGCCGTTGTCATGTGTGTTTTATGCTTGAGAAACTGTTTGAAAGTTTTACGAATAATAACGTTTTTCGTAGCATGCGCTATTGTTATTTCATTAATCGAGGAGAGCAATGATTTATTACGGTAGATTCTACAAGCTTGAATGAAAAAAAAAACTTAAAAAAAAAAAGAAGAAACCGTGTATTGTTAACCGCTGCTGTTGTGTATGGAGCCGCACCGTTCGGCTTAGACTGATGATAAAATTCACGTATGCTCAATTAGAGATCATGTTTGCGCATAATTAAGAATTCTATTTACATATACATGTTTTATATTTGTAATTAACGAAAAATCATCTAATACTTAATATTACCTGATATTATTAGATTATGTAATCTCCAAAGTATTTGCTCATCAAAGTGCTAGGCATGTTAGACGGACCGATATTCGTCCAAAATGGTACCTTGGAGATGGACATACCATCTAACAGTACGATATTTGATATTTTACACAATAATTAATAATTCCGTTGATTATTCTAAGACATAGTCAATCCTAATTATACAATCATTAAGATACGAGGATATATATATATATATATATATATATAATATATATATATATATTATATATATAAATTAACCGTTTTACATGTATATAATGTACATATACGAAACTTAGATAGACAAAAAAACAAAAGAAAAGAATTGAAAAAGAAATGAAATGCATAAACGAATTAAAATATCAAATTTAAGAAAAAGATGATCGAGAGCTTTCATAACTAGATAAATGTTCGTATCGACTTTTGATGTTTTTTTCTTCGTATTCGTTTTTTCTATTCTTTCCTCTTTTTAAGAAAACAAAAAAAGAAAAAAAAGAAATATAACATGCGACAGAAAAAAGAAACGAATATAAAATAAAGAAGAATGATTTTCTCATCGACGATGCTATTTCGACATACTATACTTACACGTCGTTCGATTTCGTAATATGAGGATAGTACGCAAGAACGGCATGAAATTGCGACAAAACTTGCGAGTTTATCGATGAATCGCCGAAAGTGACGTGACGAATTTTACCGTAACGAACTTATCCGTTCCAAATTACCATTTCCACACAAGAAGCGAAGACTGGTTTATAAAATATACGAGCCCTTTTTTGTCAGTTTTTTAATGTCATTCAAACGACTCGATTTTATATTCGATTTCAATTTCTTATCCGTTAGAACGAAAACACGGAAACTTTCAATTAAAACTATCCTTCAATCTCGATAAATGATTTTTGCGTTTCATTGCGAACCGCACCCCGACAGGCGAGAAATCTCACGCTCGAAACAGGAAACAAGCGACGGCTTTGAGAAACATGAAATTATGAAATTAACAACCTTAAATTCATAAAACATTCGATCGAAATTTATCAAGTGATCTTGCTTTATCATAAATGAAGAAAATGATGCGAAATTTGAACGTTAACATTAGAAATTGGAAAATCTCAAAGCAGATTTCTTGCGCGTCAAAAACAAAAGAAAGAGAACAATTTATCGCGTATATCGAGCGGTATTAATGAACAATATATCATTAAGCGTATCATCAGATATATGTTGCTTCCGTTTGTGTGCCAATAAAGAAAATCATACATTCTTGATATATAAATATATGAAACTTAATGAGAACGATATTATTGTTACGCGGGCCGCCGTTTATGGCTAATTTTTTCTGATTCAGAATTTACAATGCAGTGTAATTCTTTGGAGCAATCATCGCTGTTCATAAGTACAACCGATTAAAAAAAGAAAAAAAAAAGAATTAAAAAATTACCAAAGAGGGAAAGAAGATGCTCTCCGATGAAAGAAAAAAAAAAAAGCGAAAATAAGGATGAAAGACAGATGAGGGGAAAGAAAATCGTGTAATATAAACTAAAGTACCCAGCAACTGGTACGCATTAATTACTTGTATATATACATAGTATTTTTACATTCTAATTCTAAATTACATTTCCAATTCTAAATGGTATAAAATTACTCTGTGAGCTTCGCTTGTCGTCTGTGTAAATTGTCAATAATGTTACTGACGTTGATTCGCCTTGATAAAAAGTATTCGAAGATAAATGCGTTTTCACTGCGAACAGCGGATATGACGATGCAAAGGCAAAGTATTATCTTTTTTCTCGTGGTTGTTTCATTACACCATCTGCACACGCCTCGTGCCTTCATCGCACTTAAATTAATTAGAATGTATAAAGTTATGGTCGTGTGTGTAATGTTGTTAAACGTGACTACTCGCAGGGAAGAATTCGTTCGCGGTTTTGTCACAGATTCTTCAATAAATTTCGTCGAAACAGTACGTAAAATCAACGTAAAACAACAAAATTGTGCGAAAATCGTGCGTAAAATCGCGACAAATTTGTGAAAATTTAAAAATTCGGAAATTTGAGCATTTGAATGTCTGAGAACTTGAAAATTTAAAAATGCAACATTGGATTAATATTGAACAATTCGAGCCATAGTAGAACGTTTCATTTGAAATAAAAGTTATAAAATTCTTTTATTGTATAATATCTGCAAATATTTTCGTACGTATGTGCATCTCACGCGACCATAAACATGTAGGATGACAAGAAGTAAACTCGATTGTGTACATGTACGTCGTGTTACGCTGTATTCGATATTCATACGCGTAATTTAACTTCTATTTAAACTGTGCTCATAGCACGGATGTGATCGTATCTCTCCGAATATGATGTCACGACGTATGAAAGACACTCACCGAATATATTACTTCGCGCATATCTTTAGCCATTAACCTAACACTATAACATCACTCTGTACGGCTTAATATTTGAATTTGAATTTTTCCTATTTTCTCTGAGGAAAAGGAACTTCGCCAGAATTCGCCGTGTCGATTCGTTTCTTTATTTGTTCTTTATTTCTTTTTTCGTTTTTACACATAGAGACAGAGCGAAGCTCAACATACTAGTCCTTACTTTAAAACCAAAGTAAAGAAAAAAAAAAAACACAACATTGTATAGCTTTTAAGAATCTCCATTACGTATTCACACCTGTGTGTCTATACAGAAGGCATAATTATAATTAAATAATTCAATCATCGTAATTAGGTAAATGACTAACCGATAAGCGAATAGATAAAGAAGAAGATACAATGGATAAGCCACTCGTTAAGTGTACCGTTTTATTTTAATTCATTTTTTACTACACAATTAACATTTTATCTAGCAACTTTCGTCGGCTAGGAATGTAAATTCTGTATCTGTACATTGTTTTCCTATTTCAACTATTAAAAGTGATTGTCAACTTAAACGGTGTGTTATTCTCGTTCATTCTGTCGCAAGATACACGTATCCGCATACCCATAGTTAATCGCAGTGGAAGCCTGTTCATATGAATTCCATTTATTTAAATGAAATTGCTTACTACAATTTATTGATTGATCCCTTTACTATTTGACATAAACTTCTAGCACAAATGAGAAGCCACTGTTAATAGAAAAATATTCTGTAATATCGATCTCTTACGAAATGAATTTAATTACGATAAATTGCTTGTCTTTCAATGCACATTCATATAAATACACATCGTACTGCATTTTAAGAACTTCATTTCAAGCTTTGTGACAAAAGTCACTACAAATTGACTTTACTATTCGAAAAATGGCAGTAGAGCAGTATGTGCATACATGCATTCTTGTTTTCATTACATCAGGCATGTTTACAGCATAAATTACAAACGTTGTTATAATTACCGACCAACACTTCTTTATTTATTGTTTACAAGATCAACATATGTTCAATATCAACACGTATCCTTAATAGGAATGAATTTCGTTTGGACCGGATGTGCTGGCCTCAGTACCATACCCATGGCAATGGACAAATCTTTAAGATAATCAACGGGTTCAAAATAATAATTATCTAAGAGAAGACTTAGCGTTGTTTTTAACTCTAACATGGCAAATCGTTGTCCTATAAATTAGAAATTAATTATGTATAAAATTTATCAGAATAACAATGAAGAATAATAATGATGATGATGATGATGATGATGATGATGATATTTAGAAAATAGAAGAATTTAATCTTTAATTGTTCATCTATAATTCGAAGATGCTAATTAAATATTATCATTTCTCTATGGAGAAATATAAATTTAGATAAAAAAAAAAAGAATAATAAAGGAGAAACGCTTGGAAAAAATGCTGTATAAATAATTTCTCAAAAAAAAAAAATTGCAATTTTGCATTGCAGTTTTGCAATCCAACTACAAGAACATTTATTTCTTCATATCCCAATATCTATAATTCATTGATTTCGTTCGTATCCTTCGTATTTATTTATTAATAAATATTTGTACTTGGAATTCTTACCGATACAGTTTCTTGGACCAGCACTAAAAGGTACGTAAACATAAGAGTGCCGTCCTTTGGAATTTTCAGGTAAAAATCTGTCGGGATCAAAGACATCCGGATTTGGCCAGTATCGTGGATTTCTGTGAGTGTCAAATATGTTCATGTTAATTACAGTATTCACAGGTATTATGTAATTACCTGGAAATATAAGAAATTTTACTTGAAAAATAAATAACTAAATAATAGTCCATCACAATAGTAAAGTATCTAGTAATATTCTGCGATTCACGTAGAATAATATTTGATATTTACTTAATTTTATGTCTTTTTCGACTTTACGAGATATACGAGGCACGCTTGGATAAAGTCTAAGGGTCTCCTTGATGCACCTCTCTAGATAGAAAAGATTTTGTAGAACAGATAGATTTAATTTTCCTCCATTTTCTTTCAATACGTCTTTTACTTCAGCCCTGGCTCTATCCTATGAAATAATTACCATGCATAAGTATATATATCATAATATTTGTACCGTGTAAAATTATCTTCTTTTGATTTAATGTATAAATCTATATATAATCTAGTTATAATAAATAATACTATAAATATATTATATATATATATATATAAAATATATTATATATATATATATATATATAAAAGTTATAATAAATAGTCTACGAATTTTTATGTAATATGTATATTCATAATGCATATTCATACACAATTAAAACATATTCTGTGCAAATTTACCACGATAGTAAAAAGACGAAAAGACGAAATTGAAACAAAAAAATCAATCATGAATTCAAAATCACCTGAATCTCCTTATGTTCAGCCAAAAGCATTATAGAGTAGCAGATAGCTAATGCGGTAGTATCGTGTCCCTATTAAAAAAAAATTTTCTACTTTATCACGTATTTAAAAATTATTTTCTTATATAAAAATTGAAAAATAAAATTATAATTAAAAAGTGAAAAACATTATATAATATACTCTAAACATGAAAGTATCAACTTCTTCTCTAATCCCTTCGTCATTTATCTCATTATTTCGATGAGCTGCTATCAACAGATCAAGCATTGCAAGTCTCCTTTTACGAACTGCGTAAAAACAAAAATATTTTTAAAAATTTCAAAGAATGCGTGTTTTTAAAAGATAAATTATCTTACTTCCAATATCATTGCACTCCATGTTACCATTATTGTCAGTTGAACTCTTGTTAAAATCAGTTAAATATTGATCATTCGTCTGATCGTGATATTCTTTTCGCTCTTGAACTATCTACAATGAATTATAATTATTTATAATGCAAATTTATAATTAAAATTTATACTTAAAATTCGGCAATAACGATAAGATAATGCTTTTATTTATATTCGAATAGGAAATATGTGTAATTAAAAATGAGATTTCTCTACCTTTCGAGTGAAACCGTGTAATATTTTAAGTAATCTATATTGTCTCCATCCTTGCGGGCAGAGATTAAAAAAGAAATTATAGTAGAACCACGGTCTTACAAGTCTGTAAAAATTGTTATAACGATGTGCATCACAATTATGTAATAGCAATACATATACAATAATAATAATAATAATAATAATAATAATAATATAAATGTAATTACATTAGTAATAAAATGTAAGATTTGTCCGTCAAAAATTATTTACCTGTACGTAAAAACTTCTCCCATATCATTCACAGCTTTACGATATTTGTATTGAAATTCACCTTTGTCCTTTAGTGAGGTTCCCATTGCAGTTTCTGAAAGATAATCGATTACATATTTCTTTAAATTTTTAAAAATTTAAAAAAAAAACCTCTTAAAACTCTAACTATACAATTTTTTTCACTATTTTTTAAACTTTGTAAGACCTTATAATCTAAAAGCATACTTCTTTTAAAAATTGCAAATGTTTATATTGCAATATTGCAAAATTGCAATATTTTAAAAAAAATCATTTAATTACATTTATCTGTTAAATCGTAACGTGTTTGAATTTTTCAATATCATAATTATCAAAATATTTTGTCATAAAGTAAATTTCATAAATCACCACATATCATGTTCAAAGTATGCTCGCTAATGAGTTGCAAGAGATCTTTCACAACAACTCCCTCTTCGCTCTTCAACGATTTGATCAAACGTTCTCCTTCCTCTGTAAATATGTCAACAAATTGTTGAAGCACGTTGAAATGAAACGCTGATGTCAATATCTTCCTACGAATTTGCCATTTACGTCCTACAAGAGATTAATTATTTCTTCAAAAATTTCACATATTTTTACTATTTATGATCTATTATAAACGTATTATTTCCTACTGACTATATTTATTTATTTACATATTATTTCATAGCATTTGTCGTTTAAAAATCAATAGAAAAACAAAATTGATTTTGAGTAAATTTAACATAATTATTATAAAATATAAATAAATATAATTATTATAAATTTAAATTTAAATACATAAAAACATAAATACATAATAAAAACATAAATTTAAATATAATTATTATTAAAAAAATGTAGTAAATCCGAGAAATGAGAATAATACCTGAACTGGTAAGAAGTCCAGTACTAAACCAAGGCTCTAGAAGTTTATACATTTCACTTTTTTGAGTGAATCTGGGATTTCCAAGAAGTGTCTGGATGACGGAAAAGAAAAATCAATAGTTTTCTTACTATTGAAACGTAGTTAGCTTACTTGCAAAAAACTGAATGTTTAATCATTTTTTATTATGTTTGTTTAAATTTGAATTAGAAGAAGATTAAATTAAAATAAAGTAAAAATTGACTAGAATAGTAAACTATATCGTGTATCTTATATATAAATAATAATCTAAATATCTACTATTCTTTGTAATTACCTCAAAATCATCTGGATGTTGAATTTGAATTAATGCACTCCAGAAACTCCAAAGTTTGTAAATTGGATAATATTGTATGTTCATTTGCTTTATAAACGCCCAAAGATCGCCTATAATAATTAACATGAATTATATTTATTATTATTGACTTATTATTTCAAACATGTTTATTATTCGAGAGAAAATAAAATTGTTAAAATTAGATAAAAATATAATATAATACATTTAAAGATATCATTGTTCCTTCTTACTTGATGAAAGTTGAAAATGATGTATGTTTCCAATAATAGGTAATATCCGAGGCCCTGGTAATAAATCTATTAATCTTCCAAATCTTCCATAATGCAAAATAACGTAGTGTAAACTGGCCAAAAGAAATAAGAAGAATAAAATCATGGTGATCATTTTCGTAATATTTCAATTTTCAATGATTGTCTAATTTTTTCTAATTCTTCGAATCCTTTTGCTCTTCCGTTCATGGAACTGCTACAAATAATATTTTACTTAATATCACTAAATACTTTATGTCAATGTGTTTGCTTTATATCGCATATTTATCTATATACTTTAATCTCATCAAATTTTTACAAATATTTATTTGCAGCAAGATAAGATAAATCATCAAATTTTTACAAATATTTATTTGCAGCAAGATAAGATAAATCATCAAATTTTTACAAATATTTATTTGCAGCAAGATAAGGGAATTAATTAAATTTTATCTTAGCAATTGTATATGTACAGACATGGTTTTGAATATATTTACATGTATACACGTTTTTGAATATATTTTCGCAATTGGTAGAACAATTAATCTGAGGCATTGTTTTCGCGATTAGTAAACTAATTAAAAAAGAATATATATATATATATATATATATATATATATATATATATATATA